TAAAGGAAATACAGTCAGAGTGTTAATGTTTTAAGCATGTTTGTATTTTGAGTAAAAAATAATACCATTAATTGGGTTTGCCTGTGTCCTTTATAAAAGTTAGATCTCTAGTACCTGGCATTAAATTTTATGGCACACATGGCTCAGCCTGACAGTGACATTTATGTCAGTTTGGCACCTCTGATTTAAACAAACACACAGTTAAAAATACAGTTAAAATATAACATTCAATGAAAAACACATAAACAACATTAGAAGGAGGGCCAATAGCTGTTACTGGGGATATGCCAGATGAACTGAACATTTGTTCCTTAATCTATGCCCCACCCCATAACTCATCTTGGATAATTTCCATATACCTCATTTTGAATTAGAAACAAGTTCCTGCAATAATTTATGTAATGCTACAATTTAATTAACCCCAAGAATACCTGGCAACATGTTACAATTTCTGCATCTATATATATAAAAGAAAGTCCCCTCACCGTAAAATCAATGCCCAGGCCAAACCGCTGGACCTAGAAACACCAAATTCGGTGAGAGCGCTTTTACCATGACATAGATGCTCCCTAAGGCCCCGGTCACATGGAGCATTAGGCATGTTAGAGATACGGAAGATAGGGGGATTTTCCGGGCGCGATCTCACCGCCACATCTGGGAAGCGTAGAGCTCCCGTGGCGCACCCGAGGCTTCCCGCCGAAGATGCGGGGTAAAAAACTAGTACCTCTGAGGTTTGCTCAGCAGGATTGCCTTAGCCCTGCTGCTGGCCCAGACTCTGCAATGCCTTTAAACATAATCCCCCCCAACACCAGACAGTCTGTCAGGTGCAGGAGCAGGACCAGGGTACTTTAATCCATCAGGGTGCCACAATATACTCCAAATTTGTAGAAAACTAGTTTCCTTTATTAGGTTATTTAACTTCTCACAATGTGGGTTCTAGAAAACTGGTTCATATGAACTTGCTTAATATCTGATTGCTCGGATGGTATTTTGAATATGTAGTTATGTCCCAGTTCTATAATGTAACATAAATGAGAAGGATTTTTGTAAAAAAAAAGGGGGGGGTATGCCTGTTATACACAGTTTATGAAACACTGGCCCCGTTCACACACGGAAGTAGCTGCGGGAGAGTCAGGGGTGGTGAGCGGATTATTCAGGTACAATCACACCGCCACATCTGGCAAGTGGAGTGCACCCGCGGCCAACCCGTGGCTTCCCGCAGAAAACCCGGAGTTAAAAACTACCTGCTTCGTACTATCTTCCAGTAAATGCGCGGCATGGGCATCACATCCAGCAGCCGTCCGTGTCGGGCGCATGCACACAAATGCGGTCCTGCTGTGTTCCTGCTATGTTGCCTTGCTGGTCTGTTCGGCTGCTGACGGCCGGAGGACGGAGCCGCAGGGGAACGTGAGATCGCGCTACCGCGCTTCTTTTTTCTCCGCAGCTAAAAGCCTCCGTTCCCCTGTGGATTATCCAGCCCGTGTGACCGGGGCCACTGTTATGCACTCAGCACTCTTTCTGACTTAGTAGGCTAACCTTAGTGGACTAAGTTAGCACCTCTGACATACACAGACATACAGATATGTTAAGTGCCATTGATGATTCTAATAACAGAAGCAGAAATCAATTATGAACATATATTCAGTTATTCACTTTGGTTCATTGCTTAAATGCATTCTGTGAAAAATACTAAATGCTGACAGGCAGTAACTGACTGCTTATGACCTTGCTTATAATGGCCAGTTGTAACTGCGCATGTTCCTGATGTCAGGTAGCTTGCGTTAGATGGAAACCACACTACATGATGTACCCATATCTGTTACATTAGATACTTTTTATCACTTCATAGCCTGGGAAGAAGAAGGCCCATTGTTCAATTGAAGGAAGTGTATTTTTGCCTGAGAAAGTCCAACCTACAGGCCTGGGCCCAATCAGAATGTTGTGATGGGTATATGACAAAGTTTGATGGAACCAATAATTATGATTTATTTCTAACTGTCATAGGGGGTATTAAACTTTATGTCTCCCATTGTAACCTTAGGGAGAGCTGTGGGGATCTGCACCTTCCTCCTTTGTTGATCAATAAAGTACAAGATCTGATTCTGCTCTACAGGATTGTACTGAGTGTTTTCTCAAATTGGGCTGGGGAGCACACAAACTCAGACAGGATTATTTTCTGTACGTCATGCCCTCCCCCCAAATTCAATGCCCAGTATCAATCCCCTGCACCAAGAAACCCAAAATAAGGGGAGTGCATTCCTACCATGATGTCACCCCCCCCAGAAGAGATTTCTGAGAAACATGACCCCTGCTTCTTAAATGATGACTGCTTCTTAAATGGCCAGTTCTATGTGGCCTGCTCCAGAGTGAGCTCATCAAGCAGCCTGGTGATCCTAGCATCTGACGGCAGAACCACCAATGTGATCTAAAGAGAGGTCCTTCAGTACAGAAAAAAAGGACGTATGTTTCACTTCATTTCTTACACACCAATCTTCTCCATTAGAATTCCTACAACAAATGTCACATTTCAAATTTCACATCATCAGTATTATAACTGGATGTATGGAACTTAAATACCGTAGCGAAGCACGGTTATCAGGCTAGTATAATATATATGGATATGAATATGCCAGACTATGAGGAATTTCAGACAGGTGATATATTCCGGTTCAGGAACGGTTCCCAAACAGTTTCTGGTCTGACATTTCAGACAGAACCATTGTAGAACTGGTTCCCTACCGGAATATATTTATACTTTGACACACAAATGCTCCTGTCCCGTTCAGGAAACAGGGCTGAACCGTTTTGCCTGTAAACCACTTCCAAGTAGTCTTCAGTTTCTCCTCCCAGATCCGAAATGCTTTTTCCCGCCATTTTTCACCCGCGCGGGCAATCTCCGGCTTTTTTTTAACATTTGCTTTAGAGCGCTATACCACTATAGTGCTATAACACAACAGCAAAACAGCATTATAACAACCCCATTGGAATGCCTGGAGTGTTGTGTTATAGCGCTATAACGCTCTAAAGTGAACTTTAAAAAAAGCTGGAGATCGCCCGCGCGGGTGAAACATGGCGGGAAAAAGCAGTGCACTCTGAAATGGCAAACTGCTTCAGATCCAGCTGTTTACCGGTAGGGGAAAGTCATGTGTGAAATGGCAGCCCTATACCGGTTTACTCCACAACGGATGAAAAACGGCTTCAAACCGGCTTAAAAAGGGTAATGTGAAATTCCTCTCTGTCTCTTTACCTGAGAAGGAAAGGAAACTATCTAGTCTGAAACAGGAAATTTACCAGTATTCATGGCAACTAACAGTTCCATAGTGTTCAAGGAGTTTGATACAACAAAATCCCATCTTTGTTTATATACTTGCATGAAATGAAATGCTAAGAATCGAATAACATAAAGGGGCTTCTGAATAGTTCCTTTCATTTGAATCAAAACTTCTGTAATTACAAAGGCAAATGCAAGAAATAATAGAAACCTTATGGATTCTTTAAACATACATTTTTGTATAGGATGCAATCTTATGCTTATTTTTATTTATATCTTGTTTTTCTCCCTAAATGGAACTCAAAGAGGCTTACCACATTGTTCTCCCTGCCTCTACTTTATCCTCACAACAGCAGCATTATGAGGCATGTTAGGCTGAGAAGAAAAAGAAGAAGAGTTGGTTTTTATACCCCGCTTTTCTCTACCTTAAGGAGTCTCAAAGCGGCTTACAATCACCTCCCCCTCCTCTCCCCACCACATTCACTTTGTGAGGTAAATGGGGCTGAGAGAGTTCTGAGAGAGCTGTGACTGGCCCAAGGTCACCTAGCAGACTTCATGTGCAGAAGTGGGGAGTCAAACCAGGTTCTCTAGATTAGAGTCCACCACTCTTAAGTACTACACCGCACTGGTTGAGAGAATGTGTGTAATGATCTAACGTGTTAAGTTTGTGTTTCTTTAAATATTTGGTAAGTTGCAGAAGAAGAAGGGGGGTGAAAGAGGGGGATGAGTGAGTGAAGTGATTGGTTGGTAACTGAGAGTGTATGGGCGGGACTAAGATATGTGTGTGGAGAGAGACAGAAGGCAGAAGTTATCAGGCTGTCGGCAGTTAACAGTCAGCTGTGGTCAGTCAGCAGTCTACAGAGTCGGAGAAGCAGTCTTCTGATTAGAATCCCATATCAGTGCTGTGAAAAGCATTTAAGATTCTAAAAAGGAAGCAGAATACTTTAGAGGACATATTAGTGACTAGAGAGAATAAAAACCTAATATTGTCAAAGTATTATAAGTGTGTAAGAAACGGAAGCTGACAGAAACCTGAGTTAAGAAGTGAAAGATTAAACTGAGCTAAATAAATTAAAGATTGGACAAAGTACATTCTGAAGAGAAAGGAGGATTTGAGAGTGAGGAGTGTTTGTGAAGTGAAAGAGTATGATACCTCAGTCAGAAGTTATTAATATACACTGTTTTATTAACTGAAGCGATAAGTTACAAAACATCTTGTAACCAATATGCATCTTGTACAAATAAAGTTATTTTGCTTATTGTTAATCCAGAGTGATAAGCTATTACAATAAAACAGTCTCATCTTCAGGACCACATAATCCAACGGAGCCTTAGAGCTTGGGCACAATACTAAGGGAAAAGTTGAATAATAACATTTGGAATTCAATTCCTGGTGGCAGCGTTACATACCCAAAGAGAGAGAAATAACAAGAAAGTTAAAGACACACCATATCTAACCACATAGTTAAAATACTATAGTCATGACAATGTGTTTGTCCCAAGGTCACCCATCAAGATTCCATGGCAGAGCAGGGGTTCAAACCCAGTTGTTCAAGGTCCTAGTCCCACTGCACCTCTGCATTAGCTCTTCCCCAATATCCTTCAATTTATGTTCTCAAATCCTACTGAAATCTATAGGATAAGGTGCTTCTGTCACATTATCCAGTTGCACAAACCTCCCTAAAACATTCCTGGATACAAGCCATGCTATTTATGGATACATACATACCAGAGTCTGCACTATTGCATGGTTTGTAGCATTCATGTGGGCATTGAGAGGAAATGAACATTCTCCATCACAATAAAATGCTGCATAGCCCTCTGGAGCTATAATCCAATCCTGAAAAAGAAAGACTGAATGTTTAGGTGCAAGCTCAATACTTTCCACTTAAAATGATTTCCTAACTGGTGGACAAGGGAAATTTATGAAAATCCAAGCCCTAACACACACACACACACACCATTCAGCCGAGGACAAATGGAAACAGAATTCCAATGAGAAATATATAGTTTACAACTGAACCAGATTCTGGGGGGCAGTCAGCAAATACACATGTATAAGGAGAACTGTAGAAAGCTTACTTTGGAAGCTTTGGCCACACTGTGCAACACTCCTGCTGTAGTCATAGCCCTGCCACCTGTATTTGAGCTACCTGTGGAATGTTCTCTGAGCAGCAAGCACAGGTCTACAAACCCCAGTCACCCCAATAGTTGCCAGTGGGCCAGGGACGGGCACAATTTTTAAGGAAGAGCAGGCAGTGAGTGCCAATGTAGAGTTCCCTGGTCCCCCCTGGCCACTGGCAGGGGATTGGGGTAGGCTTGCTAGATCCAGGTTGGGAAATTCCAGGAGATTGGGGGATGGAGAATAGGGACCTTACTGGGGTATAATGCCATAGAGTCCACCCTCCAAAGCATGCATTTTCTTTAAGAGACTTGATATCTCCGTAGTCTGCAGATTGTTTCCAGGGGATCCCCAGGTCCCACCTGGAGGCTGGCATTCCTACCCCAGTAGCTAAATCCCTCCCCCATTTATTATCTTCCCCAACAAACCTTTCTCACCAGCTACTTTTCCTCCATCAAGGTTCCCTTACATGTTTGCTGCGTGGCACTGGGAAAACTGGCTGAGGTAAGATTTGCACGGGATCATCTGCCCACTGCATTTCTCTAAACTGTACCTTACTCCAACATTTTACAGTAGTTCAGTAGCAGCCAAGAATCACAGAGCTGGGATGCCACACATTTACACAGAGGAAAGGTGTTATGAGCTTTTGTTCATGAATAGTATTAATTCAAGGAGATTGTTATGACAGGAGGGAAGGCAACATAGGTTAGCCCAATCTCATCTGATCTGAGAAGCTAAGCAGGGTTGGTACTTGGATGGGAGACCACCAAGGAAGACTCTGCAAAGGAAGGCAAACGTGAACCACCTCTGGTTCTCACTTGCCTTGAAAGCCCCTTGCTGGGGTTGCCATAAGTCGCTTGCAACTTGACAGCATTTATGTATGTATAGTTATGCTAAAAATCATGAAATAGGGCTGGAATAGATGGACACAGAATGCCAACAGAGCATTATAAAGTTAAAGGTGAATGCAGCACTACTTTATGAATCTGAGCTTAAGCCACTCGTATAAAGCTGTAGCCTTTCTAGCAAAGTATGTCAGCTTCTGTTACTGATATGACACATCCAAATAATTCAAAGTGGCACATCTGCTTCCAGCTTTGTTCCCAGCCAGGAAACAACATAGTTTGTGATGCTGCTTTGGTAGCATGCATCATCCAAAAACAGATACATTGGTATAAAAAGCCATAAATGCATTATCTCACTGTTAACACATGCAAGCAAGCCACTGGATTTTTCAGTGGTTTCAGACATGGGTTCAGCACCTTTGTGCTTCACTTTCTTCTGTTAAGGTCTGCATTTTACGGGGAGGGCAGGTCTAATGTACTTAATTCAGCACTTTCAGTCTAGACAAGCCACAGTAACCTTTTCCCAGGCCATGCTGATTGCCTGGTGGTCCATACCAAAAAGCTAGAGAAATAATGGGGAAGGGGACAGACAGGGCTGGCTCCAGGGTTTTTTTGTACACTAGGTGAGGCTACCTTCTGATGCCCCCCCGTGCGCCCACCAATTATGGGGTTGCCAACCTCCAGGCAGGGCCTGGATCGAAGGAAGACTTTCCTCTATGAATTGCTCTGATCCTGACAGGGGAGATGAAACCAGAGAGATGCAGTGTGGAGAGAAATCCCAGAGCGAAAAGCCCCCCCCCCCGGTCACATACACCCCTCAGCAGAAAGCGATATTTTCTTTCTTTCTTTCTTTCTTTCTTTCTTTCTTTCTTTCTTTCTTTCTTTCTTTCTTTCTTTCTTTCTTCTATCTATCTATCTATCTCTCACTATCTCTTTCTCTCTCTTTTCCCACATCTCCTCATCCTGTTTGGGTATGCCGAGAGCTCCTTGGGCTGCATAGATCCCAGGGCATCTCAGGAGGACAAACCCCTCATCGGTGGCCAGGACAGGAGGCTTTCTTGCCCCCATCCTGCCCCTCATCTCTGGCCTGATCCAGACTCTCAAGTCATATTTTAAAAAGACATGAAGTTTTAGTCTTATTATAAAGCTAGAAAGAGTGGTTCCCCCCCCCCTTCCAATTTCTTGCTACTTGGAGTTTGGCTGTTGTTAATACTGTGAGTTCCCTTGTGATCTGAGGTATTATTTTATTCTCTGAAACTCCCAAAAGTAATTATTTGGGTTGCAGGGGAAAGGAATAACCTACTAATTTATTGATATGATATGAAAGGTTTCCTCCAGGTGGTCAAAGGCCTTTTCTGAAGCCAATGATAGGAATGTTAGTGATTCTCAAACCTACTTGCAATATTATGTTATTGAGTGATGACATGTATTTCTACGCCATTTCTATAGCCATTTCTAAGCCACCAAGCCAGTGTGTCTCTTCCAGCTCACCTGTTCTGTATCCTAATTTAGCAACCCCACCCCCAGAGAAAGCCACAATCCACTTTAGGGTCCTGACCTACAGTTATCATGCAATCTATTATATGCCTAATCTAAGACCGATTCTGCAAAAGCAGTTGTTCTGCCCTCAGTGTCCCATTTTCCCTGGTTGTACTGCTCAGTTTCCCACTATTTTTTGCATGGCCACATTTGGACCCGCATCTCCCCCTGCTTTCTGATGCAGGGGAAATTGGGGGATGTGGTCAAAATGTGGCTGCATAGCAAATAGTGGGAAATTGAGCAGTACAACTGGGGGAAGCAGGAGACCAAGGGCGGAACAACTGTTTTTGCGGAATTGGTCTAAAACTTGTTCGAGGATTCTATTGAAGAAATCTTCCATGTTTCAAGCACCAGTTACTACTAGGCAAACATCATCAAACACACACACATAGACAAACACACAATGGTTACTGCTTAAATATTAAAACTGATTATTTGCCTACCTCCCACCCCAGGTCTCGGAAGCTCACGTAGAGTTCATGTTTTTTACAGGCCTGTTTCTGTTCACTTGTGTTATAATCTGCTGAAAGAAAAGAAGTGCATTATAAAGGCTTGTGTATCTTTTAAAGTTCATTGTTTTCTTAGATACCATAAACACATTGCTATAAATAAAACAAGAGTACTACTTCCATTTCCACAGCAGCTAGACCTAGATTACAGAGATGGCACATCCGTGTAAATTTCAGAATCCATACCTTTAGTCTGTGAAAGATTCAGGTGGGTAGCTGTGTTGGTCTGATGCATGCACATGAAAGCTTATACCCAGAATTAAAGGTGCCCCTGGATTCAAACTTTGTTCTCACTCTGTGATGATGCATGTGCAAACATAAAGATTATATATAATGTATTTGAGGCCACTGCTTGTCATACTGAACACTGGAGTGCCAGTTCTGCTAATACTGTCAGAGGAACATTGGAAAAATAATATTGTGCCCATCAAATCTGGAGCAGAAAAGCAGCTCAGTTTTAAGTGTTATATAAGTTCAAGTGTAGCTTAAATAAATATACCAATAAAATACACCATTTATTCAAACCTTACCCATATTTTCTTTTGCTACTTTCAAGGCTATTAGTTAATGGTCTTCCCTTGGCAAACACCTCATCAGCAAGCATTTGCTAGCCCAAAGAGTGTGTTTAGCATGTAAACAGTAGAGATGCTGCAAATTTCTCAGCGTACCTGTTCAGCAGTCAAACGTACCTTGTTCAACGCTCATGATCAGACTGTGAGCTGATCAAGGATGTGTTCTGTTTCCATTGGGCAACTTGAAAAGCCACCTGCTGGTCAGAAGCTGACTCTAGTTCTGACCCACCATTATCTCCACTCTCAGCAAAATAGCTACACCGTGCAGTTGCAAAAGGGTGAGAAGAAATAGATTGTTTCTCTTCCATCTAAACTGGGTGGGGTCAGAAGCAATGCTGACATCCCCACAGTGAAGAATGGAGAGGAGAAAGAGCTCATTTGTCTCCCTGCTTCCTGCCTTGGGGGGGGGGGAGCTGACAGCATCGGTGCATCTCAGCTCATTATAAAAAGGAGAGAAGAAAGAGCTTATTTTATCCTTTTCTCTGCAGCCCAAACCAACAGTTTGAGGTGGGGAGAAGGGAAGGGAAATCAGCTGCATTCCTGGTCTGTCTGTCTCTCTCTCTCTCTCTTTTACACATCCCACTAAATTTCTGGCATGTCAGCAAGTCTGGTAAGCAACAAAGTTTCCAGGAAGAAAGAGCAGAAGAACTCCACTTCCAGTTGATCTGCCGGAAGTAGGGTTTCCAGTAGGGATGCCAGTCCCCAGGTGGAAGCGGGGGATCCCCTGATTTCGTGGGCTCCTGCCCGCCGTCAGCCAGCTGGCCAGTGGGAGTAAGCCCCACCCCCAAGCACAGCCACTGGCAGCCACCCCCTCCCTTCCCTCCTGTGAGATTTAAAGGGCCCACCAGCTGATCAGCAGGAGCATGTGGTCCACCAATCAGCTGGAGAGCCCTTTAAATCTTGCAGGAGAGAGGGAGAGGGGTGGCTGCTAGCTGCACACCTGAACTCCAAGTGACAAATTTGCCACTGGAGTTCAGGTGCGCACGGCCTGCCCCTTCTTGCAAACAACACTTAAAGAGTCCCTTTAAATTCTTTTTGCAAGAAGAGGGTGCCTGAACTCCAGTGGCGAATTTGCCACTTGGATTTCAGGCACATGCAGCCCCCAGTTCTTGCAAACAACATTCAAAGGATCCCTTTAAATGCCATTTGCAAGAGGGGGGGCTCCTGAACCCCAGCGGCAAATTCGCCACTTGGAGTTTAGGTGTGCAGGGCACCGATTCCCAACATGATGATGTTACTTCTCTGTGCTGTCATTGCATTGAGGGTGGTTGCCATTGGGGGCGGGCTTGGGCATGGCTTTCCCTGCCAGCCAGCTAGCTGGTGGTGAGCAGGAGCCTTCAAAGTCAGGGGATCCCACGCCCTCACCTGGGTACTGGCATCCCCAGCATAGAGTTTATGTCCAAATACCAGAGAGTCAACATGCTGCCAATGACATGATGACATCATTTCCAGTGCATACCAGAAGTGACATCACTGCATTACTGCCAACAGAGACCTAGACTTCAGTTTGCTGCTGGAAATTCCCCCTGATGGCCAGCTAAATGGTTGCGGGGGAAGGGCCCCAAATCAGGGAAGTCAGCTTCTGATAGGTTCCCCCTAAAAAAAACACTTTGTTCCCCCTAAAAAAACACTTTGTTGGATATAGAGCAAAATTTCCCCACCAAGAGATCAGCTCAGAGTCAGCTTTTGATGGCTATAAGTAGTCTGTTCCTGCAAATATACACGACTGCAAATAGCTCATAAATTGACTGTCTGATCTCCAGTGGTGAACAGGAAGTGCCAAACATCACTAGCGAATAGTATAATTATGGTTGCATGTTCATTATGCAAATAAAATTTAATACAAAAATGCAAACGTATGCAAAGCCATGATTGGAATGGCTACTTTACCTGCATCTAAAGGCTTGCAAATGCCCATTGTGAGATTTTGCTTTTTTTCTCTTTGAAATCCAAATTGTGTCTAGTACTATATAGTAAGTCAGACAATTGGTCTATCATGGTCAGTATTGTTGACTAGCAGCAGCTCCTCAGTTTTTTCACATCATCAACTACCTGATTCATTAGAGCAGGGGTGTCAAACATAAGGCCCGGGGGCCAGAACCTGGGCTCCTATGTGGCCCGCGAGCAACTGGTCCAAGGGAAGGAACAGAAGACTGCTTGGGAGGAAGTAGGCATAGCAACTCCAATTGTGGCTTTAGCATGGCAGAACAATGTCTGCAGCAGTCAAGCAGTGTGGGAATGTCTGGCTCTTCACTCTGCCCATATGGGGTTTCCTGTGCACCTCCCACCCAGGCCATGGGGCCTTGAAGTGAGGATACAACAACTTGGAGCTTACCAGCTGCTGTCAGTTTATTAGTACAGTAATTGACCAAATACATAAAAGAACCGAAAATACATCAGCCAGTAAAACAGTAAAACAGTAAAATGAATACAGAAGCTATCCAGAATATCAAACATTAAAATGTTAGGAATAAAATTAAAATATTATTAGGTAATTAAAAAACTATATTTAAGTACAATATTCACTATCTAACTGCTAATAGCTTGTCTCCGGATTTTGATCGCTTGCATGGCAAATTTTGCCATGTTTAAAAAAGTAGTTGCCAGCTCTTTTTCAGCCAGCAACTTATCTAGGTAAAATCTTTCATTTCTCCCAGGAAATCGAGAACAAATTGGGCTCCTCCCATGCACATGAACTTTTGAGCGATTGAGGGGGGGAGCAGAAGAAAACGCGAAGGAAACTGCCTAGAAGTACTTACCAAAGCAAATCTAAGTGGTCAAGTGCACATTCAGAGACTTTTTAAAAAATTGTGAAAGTAAACAAACGATAAAGATGGCGGGGAAGAAGGACAGAGAAAAACTTTGAAAGCGAAAGGGTCTGAGAGCCCGAAACCGGAAGCTACGAGTGAGCTGGCAAAATCTATAGTGGAATATATGCACCCTCTGCTGGAACAGCTGAATAACTTCAAGGAACAGATGTCTATAGTGACTCAAAGTATTACTGCACAACAAACCCAGATAAACAATATGCTGCAAATAATGAAGCAAGATACTGAGAAGGTAAAGGAAGTGGCTGCAACTACCCAGAAGGTGAAGAAAAAAGTGCAAAAGCTGGAAAGGAAACAAACTTCCATGGAAGATCAACTGTTGCAAGTGCAAATGGAAAAGGCCAACATGATTCTTCGCTTCCAGGGGGGAGAATCTTAAAGAAGTGATGAGCGAATTACTAGCCCTAGTGACAGAAATGAAGACGGAATCGTTGCTGAGTGATATGGATGTGGTTTACAGATCATATTCAGGCTATATAAAGAAAAATAATCTGCCTGGGGAAATTGTCATAAGATTCTCGAAGAGGCATGTGAGGGATGCAATCCTGAAAGCGTTCGCTGGAATACCCCTGAAAGTGGGGGAAAATACCATCAGAATGCTAAAGGATATTCCATTTG